GACACAATAATACCAGGGTACAAAATATATCAGAAGGACAGAACAGGTCGTGCGGGTGGGGGAGTGGCACTAGATGTGAAAGAAAGCGTAGAATCAAATGAAGTAAAAATCTTAAGTGAACCAAACTGTACCATAGAATCTCTATGGATAGTAATTCCATGCTCGAGTAATGAGAATATAGCGGTAGGGACATGTCACCGACCACCTGACCAGGATCATGATAGTGACTGTGAAATGCTCAGGGAGATTGGAGAGGCTATTAAAATAAACTCAATAATAATAATGGGGGGTTTCAGTTATCCCCATATTGACTGGGTACCTGTCACCTCAGGACGGGATGCAGAGATAAAGTTTCTTGACACCTTAAATGACTGCTTCTTGGAGCAGCTGGTCCTGGAACCCACCAGAGAAGAGGCAATTCTTGATTTAGTCCTAAGTGAAGCACAGGATCTGGTGCAAGAGGTGAATATAGCTGGACTCTTTGGTAATAGTGACCATAATATAATTACATTTAACATTCCTGTGGTGGGGGAAACACCTCAGCAGCCCAACACTGTAGCATTTAATTTCAGAAAGGGGGACGACACAAAAATGAGGAGGTTAGTGAAACAGAAATTAAAGGGTACGGTGCCAAAAGTGAAATCCCTGCAAGCTGCATGGAAACTTTTTTAAAGACCCCATCATAGAGGCTCAACTTCAATGTACACCCCAAATTTAAAAAACATAGTAAAAGAACCAAAAAAGAGCCACCGTGGCTAAACAACCAAGTAAAAGAAGCAGTGAGAGGGGAAAAAGGCATCCTTTAAAAAGTGGAAGTGAAATCCTAGTGAGGAAAACAGAAAGAAGCATAAACTCTGGCAAGTGAAGTGTACAAATATAATTAGGAAAGCCAAAAAAGAATTTGAAGAACAGCTAGACAAAGCCTCAAAAAGTAATAGTAAATATTTCTTTAAGTACATCAGAAGCAGGAAGGCTGCTAAACAACCCGTGGGGCCACTGGACGATCAAGGTGCTAAAGGAGCACTCCAGGACGATAAGGCCATTGCGGAGAAAGTAAATGAATTCTTTGGATTGGTCTTCACGGCTGAGGATGTGAGGGAGATTCCCAAACCTGAGCCATTCTTTTTAGGTGACAAATCTGAGGAACTGTCCCAGATTGAGGTGTCATTAAGGGAGGTTTTGGAACAAATTGATAAACTAAACAGTAAATAAGTCACCAGGACCAGATGGTTTTCACCCAAAAGTTCTGAAGGACTCAAATGTGAAATTGCAGAACTGCTAATTGTAGTCTGTGACCTGTCATTTAAATCAGCTTCTGGACCAAATGACTGGAGGGTAGCTAATGTGACGCCAATTTTTAAAAAAGGAGGTGATCCTGGCAATTACAGGCTGGTAAGCCCGATATCAGTACCAGGCAAAGTGGTTGAAACTCTAGTAAAAGAATAAAATTGTCAGACACAGATGAACATAATTTTGTTGGGGAAGAGTCAACATGGTTTTAGTAAAGGGAAATCACGCCTCACCAATCTGCTAGAATTCTTTGAGGGGGTCAACAAGCATGTGGACCAAGGGGATCCAGTGGATATAATGTGCTTAGATTTTCAGAAAGCTGTTGACAAGGTCCCTCACCAAAGGCTCTTACACAAAGTAAGCTGTCATGGGATAGGAGGGAAGGTCCTCTCATGGATCGGTAACTGGTTAAAAGATAGGAAACAAAGGGTAGTATAAATGGTCAGTTTTCAGAATTGAGAGAGGTAAATAGTGGTGTCCCCAAGGGGTCTGTTGTGGGACCGGTCCTATTCAACATATTCATAAATGATCTGGGAAAAGTTGTAAACAGTGAGGTGGCAAAATTTGCAAATGATACAAAACTACTCAAGTTGCAGTGGGGGAGGTTCAAGTTGCAGTGGGGGAGGTTTAGATTGGATATTAGGAAAAACTTTTTCACTAAGAGGGTGGTGAAACACTGGAATGCGTTACCTAGGGAGGTGGTAGAATCTCCTTCCTTAGAGGTTTTTAAGGTCAGGCTTGACAAAGCCCTGGCTGGGATGATTTAACTGGGAATTGGTCCTGCTTCGAGCAGGGGGTTGGACTAGATGACCTTCAGGGGTCCCTTCCAACCCTGATATTCTATGATTCTATGATACTCAAGATAGTTAAGACCCAGGCAAACTGTGAAGAGCTACAAAGGGCTCTCTCAAAACTGGGTGACTGGGCAACAAAATGGCAGATGACATTCAATATTGATAAAAACAAAGTAATGCACATTGGAAAACATAATCCCAACTATACATATACAATGACGGGGTCTAAATTAGCTGTTACCACTCAAGAAAGAGATCTTGGAGTCATGGTGGATAGTTCTCTGAAAACATCCACTCAATGTGCAGCGGCAGTCAAAGAAGCCAACCGACGTTGGGAATCATTAGGAAAGGGATAGATAATAAGGCAGAAAATATCATGTTGTCTCTATATAAATCCATGGTACGCCCACACCTTGAATACTACATGCAGATGTGGTTGCCACATCTCAAAAAAGATCTATTGGAATTGGGAAAGGTTCAGAAAAGGGCAACAAAAATTATTAGGGGTATGGAACAGCTTCAGTATGAGGATGTGCTGCATCCGAGAGTGCTAAAGGAGTTGGCGGATGTGATTGCAGAGCCATTGGCCATTATCTTTGAAAACTCATGGCGACTGGGGGAAGTCCCAGATGACTGGAAAAAGGCTAATGTAGTGCCCATCTTTAAAAAAGGGAAGAAGGAGGATCCTGGGAACTACAGGCCAGTTAGCCTCACCTCAGTCCCTGGAAAAATCATGGAGCAGGTCCTCAAGAAATCAATTCTGAAGCATTTAGAGGAGAGGAAAATGATCAGGAACAGTCAGCATGGATTCACCAAGGGCAAGTCATGCCTGACGAATCTAATTGCCTTCTATGACGAGATAACTGGCTCTGTGGATGAGGGGAAAGCAGTGGACATGTTATTCCTTGACTTTAGCAAAGCTTTTGACACGGTCTCCCACAGTATTCTTGCCAGCAAGTTAAAGAAGTATGGGCTGGATGAATGGGCTATAAGGTCGGTAGAAAGTTGGCTAGATTGTCGGGCTCAATGGGTAGTGATCAATGGCTCCATGTCTAGTTGGCAGCCGGTGTCAAGTGGAGTGCCCCAAGGGTCAGTCCTGGGGCCAGTTTTGTTCAATATCTTCATAAATGATCTGGAGGATGGTGTGGATTGCACCCTCAGCAAGTTTGCAGATGACACTAAACTGGGAGGAGAGGTAGATACGCTGGAGGGCAGGGATAGGATACAGAGGGCCCTAGACAAATTGGAGGATTGGGCCAAAAGAAATCTGATGAGGTTCAACAAGGACAAATGCACAGTCCTGCACTTAGGACGGAAGAATCCCATGCACCGCTACAGACTAGGGACTGAATGGCTCGGCAGCAGTTCTGCAGAAAAGGACCTAGGGGTTACAGTGGATGAGAAGCTGGATATGAGTCAACACTGTGCCCTTGTTGCCAAGAAGGCCAATGGCATTTTGGGATGTATATGTAGGGGCATTGCCAGGAGATCGAGGGACGTGATCGTTCCCCTCTGCTCGACATTGGTGGGGCCTCATCCGGAGTACTGTGTCCAGTTTTGGGCCCCACGCTACAAGAAGGATGTGGAAAAATTGGAAAGAGTCCAGCGGAGGGCAATAAAAATGATTAGGGGACTGGAACACATGACTTATGAGGAGAGGCTGAGGGAACTGGGATTTGTTAGTCCGCGGAAAAGAAGAATGAGGGGGGATTTGATAGCAGCTTTCAACTACCTGAAAGGGGGTTCCAAAGAGGATGGATCTAGACTGTTCTCAGTGGTAGCTGATGACAGAACAAGGAGTAATGGTCTCAAGTTGCAGTGGGGGAGATTTAGGTTGGATATTAGGAAAAACTTTTTCACTAGGAGGGTGGTGAAACTCTGGAATGCGTTACCTAGGGAGGTGGTGGAATCTCCTTCCTTAGGTTTCAGAGTAACAGCCGTGTTAGTCTGTATTCGCAAAAAGAAAAGGAGTACTTGTGGCACCTTAGAGACTAACCAATTTATTTGAGCATGAGCTTTCGTGAGCTACACTTCATCCGATGAAGTGAGCTGTAGCTCACGAAAGCTCATGCTCAAATAAATTGGTTAGTCTCTAAGGTGCCACAAGTACTCCTTTTCTCCTTCCTTAGAAGTTTTTAAGGTCAGGCTTGACTAAGCCCTGGCTGGGATGATTTAATTGGGGATTGGTCCTGCTTTGAGTAGGGGGTTGGACTAGACGACCTCCTGAGGTCCCTTCCAACCCTGATATTCTATGATTCTATGATGATAAGACTGGGACTTTTCAGCTTGGAAAAGAGATGGCTAAGGGGAGATATGATAAAGGTCTATAAAATCATGATTGGTATATAGAAAGTATATAAGGAAGTGTTATTTACGCCTTCTCATAACACAAGAACTAGGGGTCACCAAATGAAATCAATAGGCAGCAGGTTTAAAACAGACAAAAGGAAGTATTTCTTCACACAACGCGCAGTCAACCTGTGGAACTCTTTGCCAGAGGATGTTGTGAAGGCCAAGGCTATAACAGGTTTCTAAAAAGAACTAGATAAGTTCATGGAGGACAGGTCCATCAGTGGCTATTAGCCAGGATGGGCAGGGACGGTGTCTCTAGCTCTGTTTGCCGGAAGCTGGGAATGGGCAACATGGGATGGATCACTTGCTGATGACCTGTTCTGTTCATTCCCTCTGGGGCACCTGGCATTGGCCACTGTCGGAAGGCAGGACACTGGGCTAGATGGACCTTTGGCCTGGCCCAGTGTGGCTGTTCTTATGCTCCTCTCCCCCACAACTAGTGGGGCTGTGAGTGGGGCAGCAGGCACTGAGTGTTGGACTCTTGCTCTTTCAGGGACCGGTGACCTTCGAGGAGGTGGCTGTGTATTTCACCAGGGAAGAGGGGGCTCTGCTGGACCCTGCTCAGAGAGCCCTCTACAGAGACGTCATGCGGGAGACCTATGGGAATGTGACCTCGCTGGGTAAGGATTCCTGTCCCCTCAGTTCTTAGAGGGGGAAATGCAGAGTTAAGGTTCACAACACCCCACAATAGCACACACACTAACATGTACTTCCCTGCTACAGAACACTGTGGGTACTGCACAAAGTCTAACAACGTCTCTTTGCTAAAGCCAAATAAGGATTTAGGTCCAGCGTAACAAACCGAAGCTTCCGCACTCAAACACTGAGCCTACTCCACACTCACCAGCTCAGACTTGCAAACCAATACCACTGTGCAAGCCCGGTCTCTCTGGGTCTAGCCCTGGGGGAGGCCATGTTTCCGCACTGTCCAGCCCTTAGCACTGCAATCAATTAGTGGGGAATTAGCAGTCTTTAGACTGCTCAGTCCACTTGATCCTGGCTGAGCAACAGTGAGTCTGTGAACACCTGCCCTCAGGCAGAGCGGGGCAGCAAGCAGTTAGGGGCTCTGGCTTGCAAACAGGGCAGAGGACCACAGTCTATGAGCCCAGGCCCTTAGTCAGGGTGGGCTAGCAGGCAGTTAGGGGCTCTGGCAAGGGTAAGCACCAGACACAGGCCTCTGGCCAAATGTGGGGAGGCTGCCACCCCAGGGGTGAGGTGGTAGGGGGACCCAGGCCAACCCTGCTCCACCGGGTCCCAGCCCAGGGCCCTAACAGTGGCGGAGTGTTGCACCACCGCGTCAGCGGGGATCCACCCACAACACGCCAACCTGTCAGGCCAAGGCCCAACCAGACGGTCATGTAGTTTCCCTGGGCTACTTCCTACCTCCCCATAGTCCGGTACCTCCATGCTGTAGGTGTCCTCTGTCTCCCCGGGATGGGTGGTCAGCGGTAGCCTCAGGCGTTTGTCAGCACCTTGCTCAGCCAGCGGCCCTGGGAGCTCTGGCCAGGCATCCTGGGAGCTCCCCATCAACGTCCTGCTCCGGCAACAGGGGGGAAGCGTCCATCTCCCTTGGCAGCTCCAGCGCAAATAAAGGCCATCCTTTTGTACTTCCGCTTCCTGTCCTGCCCCTCCACGTCCGGTGGGGTGGGCATGGCTTTCCTGATTCTGAAGCCCAAAGGGCGGGTTATGGTCCTTCCAGGTCTAGCTCTGAGGGAGGCCAGGCCTCCTCGCCACACACTCCCCTCCCCTCACCGTGAGGTTTCCTTCTGAGTCATTGTCTTCACTTTGCCATTGATCAACCTTGGAGTCTTCTAGAAGTATGCCCCCAGGCTGCTGGCAATCTCCGTGACAAGAACGTGCCCTGGTGCACCTTCACTGGCACAACCTACAAACACAGCGCGGAAATGAGGCACGCTTGGTCCCTCAGGGTTCACATGTACCTCTCTTCATCCCACAGTCACAGCTCTGCCAAGATGCTCCAGCTAATCCCTCCACCTTTCAATTACGGCTATGCTGCACACAGCTGGAGGGCATGCGGATAAATGCCGGTATTCCCGTCTGTGCAACACAACACAAACACTGACAGGTTCTCTTAGTCCTTCCTTGTGTCTATTGTAGATTCATGGGTTTTGTGGCCAGAAAGGACTATTGGAACATATAACACAGGCCACAGAATTTCATCCAGATACTGCCAAGCTGAGCTGAATCCCTTGTGTTTGATTAAATCATCTTCCGGAAAGGCATCCAGTCTTGACCTGAAGACTTCCTGAGATGGAGAAGATGCCACTGACCTTCGTAGTTTGTAAACCTTTGCACCAATCTTACTGAACTGTTTCCAGTGGCTAGTGCCTACTCAAGGATTAGAGAAGGGCAGAGTTAAGGTTGTGTTGCAGGTATGGCATCGTTTTCTAGTTTTCAGAGGTTTAAGTTTTGCTCTCATCCACATGCTGGAAGGACATGAGGCCGCACTGGGCAACCTTAACTCTGCAGTAATGTACTTTATGGGTATTCTACCCGGATTTTTTTTTTTTTAAATGGACTTTTTGCCACTATAACTGTGTCTACCTTACACCTTTTCCTGGCACGGCTGTGATGGTTAGCGGTGTGATTTTTACACCCCTAACTGCCAGTGCTACGCTGGCAAAACTTGTAAGTACAGACCAGGCAAAACTCTGCATGTGGACTTTAGAGCACTTTAAAATAGAACTCTGAACCCACATATTTTGGAGTCAGAGGGGAAAACTTCCAAGAGGAACTTCTGCAGAATGCAAGAAAAAGGCACAACACACATTGTCTGAAACTATCAGCGGTCGGGCTCCATCTCAAATTCATGGGTGTGGTTTAGGTTCAAAGGCCGCAGCATAAACCCTCTTGAGCCAACTCAAAGAGGCAGTGGGGGCTACGTACTACCTGAGATAAATGCCAAGTGAAAGAAATCAGTCCGGGGACAGTGAGAACCGTCGTTTCAGCCCCAGCTGTGGGTAAGAAACTATGACAAGAGGAAGATGATTTTGTAAAACAGCTGCCAAAGGGGATGGGGGGGCCTGTATCTTAGGTATCTCTTTAACAGATCTCCCCCAAGTTGAACCACTAACCCTTCCCTGAATGCCCATGAAAAATGTGCCCTGCTAATTTCAAGAGACTCCAAATACACATGTGGAATTCAGGGTAGTTCGAATAGTTGGTCTTTAAACAGAAAATAATGCTTCCATCGAGCTGCTGCCTCTCGCGGAGGTGGATGGCCTACGCTGATGGGAGAACCTTTTCCATTGCTGTAGCGAGTGTCTACACTGACGCACCATAGCAAGACAGTCGCAGGGTCTCAGGTGTAGACAAGCCCTGGGATACGACATTCAGTGACACCCCCAGTCCCTCCTTTTCCTGACTGCATTGAATCCCTCCAGTCCATGCTCACCAGTCCCGGCTTTCCTACACCTCTCCCATTGTCTCTGGGTTTCTCTCTGTGATTCAAAAGCAGATCCAGGATGACTTCCCCTCTGGCTGGAGTCTTTAATTCCTGGAACAGGGAGTTACTGACTCTGTGTTTTAGGAGCTGCATTGCCAAGATGGCCAACGGCATATTGGGCTGCATTAGTAGGAGCATCGCCAGCAGATGGAGGGAAGTGATTATTCCCCTCTACTCATCACTGGTTAGGCCACATCTGGAGTATTGCGTCCAGTTTTGGGCCCCCCACTACAGAAGGGATGTGGACACATTGGAGAGAGTCCAGCGGAGGGCAACGAAAATGATTAGGGGGCTGGGGCACAGGACTTACGAGGAGAGGCTGAGGGAACTGGGGTTATTTAGTCTGCAGAAGAGAAGAATGAGGGGGGATTTGATAGCAGCCTGCAACTACCAGAAGGGGGGTCCCAAAGAGGATGGAGCTCAGCTGTTCTCAGTGGTAGCAGATGACAGAACAAGGAGCAGTGGTCTCAAGTTGCAGTGGGGGAGGTTTAGGTTGGATATTAGGAAAAACTATTTCACGAGGAGGGTGGTGAAGCACTGGAATGGGTTCCCCAGGGGGGTGGTGGAATCTCCTTCCTTAGAGGTTTTTAAGGCCCAGCTTGACAAAGCCCTGGCTGGGATGGTTTAGTGGGGGTTGGTCCTGCTTTGAGCAGGGGGTTGGACTAGGTGACCTCCTGAGGTCTCTGCCAACCCTGTGATTCTATGAGCAGTGTCTGGCTGTGTGTGTTCCCAGCAGAGATGGGGATGGTTAAATCCCTCATACGCAGAGCGTCCTGCACCTTTGAGCACCTGAGGAGCTGCCCCCAGGATTTGACTGTTTTAAAATGGGCTGGGGTTAAAGTAATAGACTCTTTGTGACAAATGTCCCATGAACTCCCCTGATCTCCCTTGTTTTCTATCCCCTGAGCAGGGTTTCCCGTTTCCAAACCTGATGTGATCTCCCAGCTGGAACGAGGGGAGGAGCCATGGGTCCTGGATCTCCAGGGCTTTGAGGAAGGAGAGATCCCGAGAGGCGCCTGCGCAGGTGAGGGATCATTAAACCAATTCAAATACACTCTGTGGCTGAAGGAAATACCTGGGACTCGCTAAAAAGGCCTTGGGAGCTCTCGGAGTTCAGGAGTATCCCCAGGAGGCCTTGTACCCTATGGGCAGCTATCGCTCATGGCTTCCTACCCATCCTGACTGACACCCAGCAGCAGCTCCCTCCCTGATGGGATGTGGAGGCAGAATTGTTCCCCTCCTCTCTCCCCTAAGGAGAAGAGTTTTGGAGAATTCAGCTACTAGATTTTTTTCTGTCTCTCCAGCTCTAATTTTGATTTGTTTTCCCCTTTTCCACCCCTGTTTCTGAGGTTTCTCTCTTTGTCCTAGCAGGTGCTTGGATGGTGAATGAGAACGAGGAGCTGAATCCTGAGCAGGAAGATGCTGAGCAAGTGGAAGCGCGCGGGGAATTATCGCAAGGATCGAAAGGGAATGTGTTCAGGTGTTGTGTGAGGGGGAAAGCCTGTGAGAGCCAGCCCAGGCCAGAGAGGCAGCAGGGAAACCAGCCCAGGGAGAAAGTGGGTAAATCCATTAATTGTCAGGGGACTCACCAGGACTCCAAGGAAATCACAGCCGAGCAGAGAATACCTACAAGAAAACACACATGCACTGAGTGTGGGAAACACTTCAGTAGCCACTCAGACCTTATGAAACACAAGCGAATCCACACGGGAGAGAGGCCCTATGGATGCGGTGTGTGTGGGAAAAGCTTCAGCCAGAGCTCTCACCTTATTCGGCATCACAGGATCCACTCAGGAGAGAGACCTCACGAGTGCGGCAAGTGCGGGAAAAACTTCACTCTGAGTTCTGCCCTTATTAGACATCAGAGGATCCACACGGGAGAGCGACCCTATCAGTGCTGTGAGTGCGGGAAAACCTTCACTGACAGCTCAGCTCTTATTAATCACCAGAGGACCCACACAGGAGAGCGACCCTATACATGCTGCGAGTGCGGGAAACAGTTCACTCGGAGCTCAGGTCTTATTATACATCAGAGGATCCACACAGGAGAGCGACCCTATGAATGCTGCGAGTGCGGGAAAAGCTTCACTGTCAACTCAGACCTAATTAATCATCAGAGGATCCACACAGGAGAGAGGCCCCATGAATGCTGTGAGTGCGGGAAAAGCTTCACTCAGAGCTCAGCCCTTATTAGACATCAGAGGATCCACACAGGGGAGCGACCGTATAAATGTTGTGAGTGCGGGAAAAGCTTCTTTGTCAAGTCAGATCTTATTGGACATCAGAGAATCCACATGGGAAAGATCCCCTATAAATGCTCTGAGTGCGGGAAAACTTTCACGCAGAGGTCAGCCCTTGTTACACATGGGAGGATCCACACAGGAGAGAGACCCTATGAATGCCGTGAGTGCAGGAAAAAATTCACTGTCAAGTCAGACCTTACTAGACATCAGAGGATCCACACAGGAGAGCGCCCCTATGAGTGCTATGAGTGTGGGAAACAGTTCAGTCAGAAATCAAACCTTAGCGCTCATCAGACAAGCCACACAGGCGAGACACCTTATCAATGCTGTGAGTGTGGGAAAGGCTTCAGTGTGAGCTCTGCCCTCATCATACATCAGAGGATTCACACGGGTGAGAGACCTTATCGCTGCTCGGTGTGCGGGAAAGGTTTCATCCGCAGCTCACACCTGAATAGACATCAGAGTCTCCACAGGAGAGAGAGACAGCACAAAAACTTTGTGTAGGGCTGAGAAGTTTTTTTTGTTTGGTGGTGGTTTTTTTAACCATATTTGCTAATTCCCACACAGCAACCTTTTGGTTTGTTTGCACCATTTCCATCACCCTGTTCTCTCAGCTCCCCCAGGTTAGTTGCCCTCTTTTGCCTTTTCACAGATCGCCCTTCTCTGGGGTGACTCCCGTGGTCCTTTCTACCAACTCCTTTCTCCCAGGAGTCTTGGGAGCGTGTGTCCCTCTGGCCAGGAGTTTCCATCAGCCCCAGGTGAGGGAAATAGGGGTGACCTCAAGTAGCTACACTGAGCGAAAATCAACCTGGGCTTTGTCTCCTCTAGGATTTTCCAGCCTGCTGGAGGTAGCAATCCTCATGTAAACACCCTGCTGTATGTGCCGTGCTGACATAGCCCAGGGGCTGGGGTTAGCTTGCACCTTCCCCTTTGACCTGTCCTAATCGACACCAATGTTCCTGCTCTGGAAAGGCCCTGACCATCACCTTTATACTGGCCCCGCTCTAGCAGAGCGAGTCTTAGTCACCAAGTTCCCCCTTTGGCGACAGATTGTCTCATCCCCAGTTGTTCTCACGCTGATCCAGGTTGTGCTGGGCAGCAGGTATTTTTCTTTTTACCATTTTTCTTATTGAAAATCTATTTCAATATCACAAAGAGGAGGAGCAGGAGTGGGACAAATGTATCATTTCAGTCTTTGCAACACTGGCAGGAAATGGGGTGAGTCGACGGGATTCCCTCCTTCCCCATCACCGTCACTAGGCCCGCTCACTCCAGCAGCGCTGGGGTCTGTCTGAGCCACAAAGGAGCTTATCCACCTATATTCTACCCCTCCACCTCCCAAACTTAATAGCACCGATTTGATCCTAAATCTGACTCGTTATGGAGATGAAAGATGAAAGTGTCCCAGACCTGGCTGGGGAATTCCAATGGATCCCAAACACCATGCGATCATTCCCAGTTTAAATCCCAGTTTCTGTCTATTGACAAAGCCACTCCTGGGCTTTTTCCCTCTTGAGCTGGGCTCATTTGCAGATGAGAAGGTCAGCAGTTTTTCCCTATTACAATGCTTTTTTCCTCAATAACACAACTCTATAATAATGAAGGGCTGTTGAGTGAAGCAGGTGTGAATGGATCAGTGGAGAAAGCGATGGGGAAATCGGCTGTCTTGATTTCTGAGTAATCAAATGTAACCTGCTCTGGAATTTCATGTTGTATGAACAAGAAAGTGACTTATACCGCTCTGTGTTGCAGGTTTTTCTCTCTCTCCTGGAGGCCATTTGGTCACATATCTGAATATTAGTTTTGTAGCTCAGATTTATCAGGGACTTTTGGAGAAATGACTGTTTGCTAAACAAGTACTGTCTTATTTTATTTTTGTCTTTTCCCCACCGCTGCATGAGGACATGGAAGAAGCTCAAGTGGTGTTCACTCACCAGGAGAGGATGCTCCGAGCCATCCGGCTTGCTAACAAGGAAACAGTAGTGGGTTTAGGGCTCTGCTCCAAAATGGTGAACAACAGCACACCCCAGATTGTGCAACTAACTGAAATAACTGAGTGCGTGTGGCCTATGATTTGGGAAACGCTGTCCCTGCCTGTGTTGATGTGGAGAAAACAAAAGTGGGAATTTTTGGCAAACTTGCACTTGGGAGATGCTGCAAATATTCATTACAGTGAAATCAGTAGCTACACACTGTCTTTTTTTATATATATTCTGCTCCTTTGGTGACTTATAGGGATTCTGCTGCAGCTGTATATTATTCTTGGGGGAATTCTGCACCAAAAATTGAAAATTCTGCACACAATAGTTTAAAATTCTGCATATTTTATTTGTCAAAATAAGACAATGTAATCATGCCAGCTTCAATTATTTTGGTAATTTATTTCCAATTATCTGTCAGCAAGTATGTCTCTAACAATACAGACCCCAAAAAAAAATTCTGGTGATTTTTTTTTGACAAATAGATTCTGAAGTACAATATCACTCCAAGGCTGAGGTGGGGGGAATGTGAAAGAGAAATAGTGTATAGGAGAACACCGACCCAAGCTTCAGTTATTTCAAATGGAATTTGTTTTGACAAGCTCTAAAGTAAAATTACTGAAGGAGACAAGTTGTGTAAACTTTTACTCAATTAGACTATACGGGTCACTGAGTTCCTCGCTTCTCTGCAAAGCAAAGATGTAGAACGTCTGTCAGGAGAGGCCCACGGTGCTTTTTATGAATGGCAATGGATGCATGAGGAAATAGGTAGCTTGGTTTGGATTTTTTGGGGGTTTTTTTTTGGTGGGGGGGGGTTGGCTATCCATTATTTTTATGGGAGCCGAGACCCCTTTTCCTTTTTTAACAAAGCCCATTGTCACAGCTCAGACTTTTAACCCTCAAGCCGGGCTACGGAAACCTCCCCAAAACTTTCCTTGGTGTTTTCACTTTGGAGATCTTTGGGGTTCAAACCTCAACAGTGCCTGTGGTTCGGAGCAACCGATATTTTAAGAAAACTGCTGGGTTAATTCGGACTCTTCCATGAGGCAGACTTTGGGCTATCGTCAGTTTGGATCAGACCATGGTGTCTGTAACCAAGGCGTCCTTCACTCCTCACATGCCTGGAGACTTCAGGGGAGAGACCGCAATGTTGGGTGAGCTGGAATCCTCAACCATAAAGACCAAGGTAAAGGTGGAAGCCCTTTTGCACCAGCACCTGCCTAAGAAAGATGGACATTCCAGGACTCCCAGACTGATCCCCTCTGGGGAAGGAAGTTGTAACATCAACACCAGGCTGTGCCAGCCTTGACTTGTCTCCTTGTACCTGACACAGCTTGCGAATGTGGAGTACTGAGTAGGCGACTCCATCGCCTGGTTCCTTGACTGCAGCTCTAGCTCCTACTCCAGGGGAGTCGAAAGAGCTGCAGAGTTGGAATCACTTGTCAGTTTCAATCTCAGATGGTTACTTGTTCTATTTTTCATGCTTTGTTTTTATCAAGTGGGAACTATCCCATCCTTTCTATTCTACTGCATTGCGTGCAGGTGTGTGTGTGAAACCTGTCGCAGCCACTCAAGGAAGGAGCTAAAAACAATTCCCAAATCTAAATAACCCTAAAATGCTGCCCTAGAAAATGGTTGAACATGTGCTCCTCGTTCCATGAAAGTGGTCAGAGAACCTGAGCTGGCGGATACATACCGTTAAAACTCTGTGCATAAAGGTCTGTGTCTATTTTAAGGTTTTTAATCTGTAGAAGCCACCGGGAGGTTAGCGATATGCTGGTGAGGTCTAAGATGGACGCTCCAAAGTTGTGGCTTAAATGTGAACAATGTGGACAGCTGCCTCCTTGGGTTCCTGTTTCAGGGTTTATAAGGGCTGATTTTCTGCTTTATAATTCTGATGATTTGGCTGAACTGATGATTTGATTCCAAAGCAAGATAATTGTTAACTGAGTGATTTCCGGATCTGGCCTGATCGAGATCCCAGTACTGTGTGCCCCAGAGTTAGCTGAGTGGTGTTAATAATAGTTTAGGTTTAGTTAGATGTGGTGTTCATTTTGTTTGTTCATTTTAATGAAATGTATAAAAGGGATATTGAGTCTTGTCTTCCACTAAGCTACATGGCCAGAATCGTAGAGATCAGCCAGCCCGACTCGGAGCCTTATCAACTTCCTCAATATTAACTCTTAGGTTCTCAGATGGGACCAGCTGGGGGAGGCCACACGCATCTCATCCTAGGGGGCTCACACAAGGGAAAATGAGCTCCCAGCGCAGACTTTCAGGAGTAGTGAGGGTGGGCGTGGGCCAGGGGTAGCGTGTCTGTCTGCATGCTGAGAGGTTGGTGGAAGGGGGTATCTCAGCCGGTGGGAGAAGTGGCTCCGTCCCATCCCCTCTGCTCCCCATATGTGCCCGGAGCAGGGTCTTTCTGCTCAGCCTACTTAGGGACATTTCCTGCCCCCCTCACCCTGCTGAAGTGCCCAGGCGTGCACAGGAGCTCCAGGGAGACACTGATGCTGTGAGTCTCCCTGAGCCAGGGATGTGGGGCTGGAAGGTTCCTCCCAGAGGTGACACAGGGGGAGCTCATGTCCTCCCCCACCCCTTTACATTGTGCCCTTCTAGTATCACAGGTACAAATCGTCTCTACTGGGAGGGGCAGACTGTCCTTGTCACAGTGTATATATACACTGTGCCAGGGGCCAGGGTGTACATGTACACCCTGGCAGGGTGGGCAAGGAGCATGCGGTTACCACAGTTACAGCCTACCAGACTGTACTGGGTCTTGTCGTATGAGATTCAGAGATCAGGGTCGCATGGCAGCCCTCAGGTACAGGGCAGCATGGCCTAGAGGCCAGCATCAATACTGCAGCCCTTGAATTCAGGACAGCGCGGCCTAGTGGCCGATACCCAGGGGAGCCACCACCAGGGGTTGTTGGTCCAGGTAGAGGGGCACCCGACTCCACCAGGCCCCAACCCAGGGCCCTAGAGTGGTCTGTCAGCGGGGAATCCCACCGAAACATGCTGACCTCACGCAGGTGGGAGACACCACTCGCTCACCCGCCTGCTGTCGCTTCCTGCAGCTGCAGTTCATGAGGCATCGGGGTCTCCAGGCTCCTGATGGCACCAGATCTCTGGTCCAGCTCTCCAGCGGGCACCTCCCCCCAGAAGTTTTCCACCCCTCTCCAACCTCCCTTAATCATCCCCCCCCGCCCTGCCCAACCCCACCCCCCAAACCCCCAAAGGAGAGGAACCCCCCCCCCCCCCAGAAACACACCCCCGTGTCTCCCCCCCCCCCTAAGGAAAAAGTTTTTCCTAATACCAATCTAGATCCTTTTTCTCCAGTGGTCAGCCCAGGCTGCTCCCTTTTTATACTGAGCATAACACCTGGAGCATGCCCAGTACGGTCTGAGAGGCGGGAATTCCTTCGCCCGCAGTGTGGGGTTAACCCCTTCTGGCCCAGTGTGCAGTGTGTACGCCTCATCACACATCCCCCCTGTCACATTATTGGGGGGGGGGAAGGTACTGACTCCATGGCAGATGACTGCTCTCCCTCCCCTGCCCCTGGAGGGAGGGGAAACCCTTTACCCATGTCTCCAGCTCCCTTCCTTCCTCAGCTGCAGGAGATCTCGAGGTTGTGTTAAAAACACTGCATGGCACTTCAGGCCAGTGGGTGACTGGAGCTGGCCGTGCTGGCTCCAGGGTCCCGCTGTAACCTCCAGGGCAACTGCACCTGGATTCCCCCTCCGTGGTCCACTAGTGACACCCACCCTTAGACTTCCCAGATGTCACCTCTCTTGGGCAGAGACACGTGTCTCTCCCTCTCCTGAACAGCATATTTCCAGGCTGCACCAGCCCTGTTTACACTGTACTAGCTCTCAACAAGTCCTAAACGGCCAGCGCCTGCCCTTTGCTGTCTCTGCAGTGACTAAGGGCAGTGTCACGGCCAACACTGATACCCACCCAGCTCTTTGGTGCAGGCACGTTTATTCTTCAGGGGAAAGCATTAAAAACAAGGAAAGAACCAGAGATCACCCCAGCTCCAGCAAGGGCTCTGGTTGGGGATTTGTCCTTCAAACCCCACTATGGCTTTTTCTGTGGTTACAACAGCCTTCGCTCAGCACAAGTCCCCACCCCATTAATCTGTAGATCTCCCCTTTGTGGGGTTCTGTGATCTGGGAATGGAATCACAGGGTCACCAAAGCACGAACCTATCCGAGGGGGGGGGGTGTCAAACGGCATATTCTGCCCCAGCCTGACTCTGGTTCCCCCAATCCCATGAGCTTTGCCTGCACAGGTTCAAATCCTGCTCACAGCAAAGGGCCAAGCACCAGTCCCATGGAAGGGCAGTGGGGGTTTGTGCTCCTAGGTCACCTTGGTGCTTCTCAGAATCCAACCTCGTGGGCTTCCCGGGAGGATGCTCAATGCCGAAGGAGAAGGGGGGGATCCCGGAGAGAAAGAGCCACATCAACACAGACTGAATGGTGAGGAAATGGGGTGGGGGAAGCAGGCAGAGGTTACAGAGAAGACTCTTTACACACAACAGGGAGCAGGAGGCAAGTGCAGCATGTTTAGGATGATGGTGGTGGAGAGAAAAAAGGCTGGATTCAATGCACGATGAGACCAAAGGAGGGGAAGGCGAGTGGCAGCCCACACAGGACCACAGTGCTCAGAGACCCCAGTGCTGGGCACCCTGACTGTCCTAGCTAGAGAGAACTGGCAAACAGGGACCCATCCCCCCCCCCATGCTCCTCTCCTGGCAGAAGGCCCCTTGGAGCAGTAGGAGCTGGATTGGGAGTGGGGGGCCCTGGGGAGAGAGGGCAGCTGAAGTCCCTCAGATATCTGGGAACTAGGCACTGCACAATGAACGGGCTTCACACCCCTCACAGCCGGGACTGAGGGGCAGCAGCAGCTGGTAGGGTCTGCGAGCAGGATTGGGGAAAAGACGAGCAGATGGGCCAGATCCCCAGCTGATGTTAATCACCCTGGCTCCACTGGAGTAAATGGGCCAGAACCTCAGCCGATGTAAACGTCTTTTACTCCAGTGGTGACAACTTCTCTATTTCCCTCATGTCCCATTGAACCAGCTCACTTCCCTGTTCAGGCTAAACGTTTTGTCATCTCGGTGGTAGAGGATCCCCCTCTAGTGGCTGGCCCACATGCAGGACAGCCTACAGCTCTCAGTTACACGACTCGCTCAAGGCGCAGAGGTCTGTATGCGGTGGATTGAATGGCCCTGTTCTGCTGATGACCCGTGGGGAGGTCATAACGGCTCCCCATGGTGCAATCCCTCTTTGTTCAGGTTGTGAGCTTTAAAATTCTAGGAAAGGACACAAAAAATGTCCTGGCACCTTTTCTGTGCGGGATTCTCTGGGCAGGAAGAAAAGGCCGCTGTCTCTTACCAAGAACCAGCCACATGATGGCTCGGTGCTGGACGTGCAATGAGCACAAAGACTCCTCTCTCAGCCTGCAGTAACCCCTCTGCATTGCTCCTTCTTCAGCCAGCCCCAGCGAGCTTGTCTCAGAGACACAGGCTGCTTGGTCCCCAGACAGCTCCCCAGTGCCGGTGATCCTTAGATTCAGGACACCCAGCAGGACCTGGGGGTGGCTCCTCTCTCAAAGGGCTGGCAGGCTCAGGCCAGGCCCCTGGCATGGGGTTCACTATCTACTTACCTAGATGCCAGGGAAACCCACAGTCCCTTTGTGAGCCAGGTGAGGGATGGGTCTGGGCCCAGCTGAGCTGCCCAGAGAGAGGGGGCAGGAGAGGCTGGGGGCTGCTTGGCTCTTCTTGGGTTTTTGAAACTGATGGGAGACTTTGAAAACGTGTAGCCCACAGATCTGGGCATTAAACCCTCCACCCTGTGAAGGGATCCGAGGAGACAGACAGTAGAAGAATGGACAGAGCATGGGTGGACAGACCCATCGGCAGGGAAAAGCTCTAGGTACACACAGTCATAGTGGCAAAAAAAAACCACTGAATAAAATCAAGGTAATTAAATGCCCATAAACTACATTAATGCAGAGTAACAGTGGCCCAGTGCTTCCTCCTGCCCTCCCAGCATGTGGATGGGAGCTAAAGTTAAACCTCTGAAAACTAGGAAATGAAGAGTTAAAGTACATGCCATAACCACCAGACGACCTTAACTCTGCCCCTCCCCTGTCCCTGGAGTTGGCACTCGCCACTGGGAGTGGTTCAGTAGGGCTGGTGCAAAGGTTTACAAACTATGAAGGGAGGCGGAGAATGCTCCATCTCAGGGAGTCTTCAGGTCAAGACTAGATGCCTTTCTGGAAGATGATTTAGTCAAACACCAGGTACTCAGCTCAACTCGGCAGCAAATGGATAAAATTCTGTGGCCTGTGGTATAGAAGAGGTCAGACTAGATGATCTAATCGTCACATCTGGCCATAAAAACCCATGAATCTACCATAGATACAAGGAAGGACTAAGAGAACATGCCACTGTTTGTGTTGTGTTGCACAGACGGGAATACCGGCATTTACCTGCATGCCCTCCAGCTGTGTGCACTCCGTCATCTCTAGCTAGAATTTGTTGCTGGAGGGATTACTTGGAGCAGCTTGGCAGAGCTGTGACTGAGATATGAAAGGGGGGTGCGTGTGAAACTTGGGGCACCAAGTCTGTCTCATTTCCATGCTGAGTGTTGTAGGTTGTGTCAGTGAAGGTGCACAAGGATCTGTTCTTGTCACATAGACGGTCAGCAGCCTGGTGGCGTATGTGTAAAGAGAAGTTGTTAGACTTTGTGCTGTACTGCTCCTGTTCCCAAAGTGTTGTGTAGCAGGGGAGGGCAGAGGGTGTCACTGTGTGTGTCACTGGCATGTCGGGGTGATGCTGAAACAGGGCAGCGTAGAGGCTGTATTGTGGGGTGTTGTGAACCTTAACTCTGCATTTCCCCTTCCAAGAACCGAGGGGACAGGAATCCTTACCCAGCGAGGTCACATTCTCATAGTTCTCCTGCATGACATCTCTGCAGAGGGCTCTCTGAGAAGGGCCCAGCAGAGAGAAAAGGGGAAGAACTAGAGACGATTTGTATCAGTGAGTGAGAGAATCATAGAATATCAGGGTTGGAAGGGACCTCAGGA